CATAATGGCCGTCAGGTGACACCTGCAAAAGCAGTCAGGTGTCGTGAAGATTCTTGAACATGAATTTGGTAGAAACCCGATGCTAAATCTAGGCTTGTAAATAATGTCTTACCACACAATCGGTTCAACCGGTCATCAATGACTGGCATCGGGTAGCTGTCTTTAACAGTCTTATTACTGAGCGCCCTATAGTCAACGCAATGTCGGTACTCGTTATTCTTTTTACGCACCAGAACTATGGCGCTGGCGTAAGCGGAATGAGATTACCTTATAATATTATTTGCAAGCAATTTTTTTTCTTCCAGCGTAATATCAACTTGGCGGGCTTTTTCTTACCTTGGGATTGTTCGTTGCTCATTTGTTGGTTGTCTTGAGCTGGAGAAAGCTGAGGAACACTTACGTTTGATGGAGAAATTTCTGCGCTAGTCGATGGGTTTTCGTGGTCATCTAAAGTTTCGATAAGAGAATCCATGTCAATGTCCAACGCCACATTGTCATCTTCGAATGTTTCCAGTTCGGGTACAAAATCAGGGTCCGCAAGGCTTTCATCGTCAAAATCTAGCCCATCCTCACTATCCGCACCATCTTCCAGCGCTGCAGCAATGTACTCGCCCGCAGGAGATTGCTTCCGAGCCCTCCTAGAACATAAAAAACTCCTATAAACACTTTTGCTCTCATAGAGAACTACTTATAATAAATTCTCCTTTTCTATCAATGTTGCCTACGAGCAACAAACAAGAATTTAAAAAAATAAACAAAACAAGACAATATTTTCGTAAAGATAACTTTAGATATTAAAATTCATTAACAGTGGTAGAGCCAAGCGGTAGCTTTTGCTGTCGCACGGATGGGCCAGCTCGAACCGGGGTGGTACCACGACCTCACAGAATACCAGCGTGAAGTAGAGGTTTACCTCTGCGTTGCGTTTGGTGAGTGCAGGTGGCCGGAGGCCCAATTCCCCCCCCCCCCCCCCCCCCCATCAACATGGTAGTGGAATTAAATACAAGACTACCCCAGGAGGGTACCAGCAACCCTGGAGAATCCCTCGCTGAGCATCCACGAACAAACTACTTCACTCCTGAGCGTGGGTGCTCAGGCTGCCCCGCGTATTCTGGGGGGGGCAAAATTCCGCTCGTGACTAATGCTGCTCGGGGCAAGCGGAGCAATACAACCAAGGCGACCCCTGTCACGCTATCCGTGAATTTTTGCAACATCAGGGGACTTCATTCCAACCTTAACGCTGTCCATTACCATCTAGAGACGGCGAAGCCGGCCTTGCTCTTTTTAACCGAGACTCAGGTGTCCTCTCCGGCTGATACTTCATATCTCTCCTACCCGGGGTACAAATTGGAACACTCCTTTGTGCCCCGGGCTGGAGTTTGTGCATACGTCAGAGAGGACATCTGTTTTCGACGCCTCGGCAGCCTTGAAGGTACGGACCTGTCCATCCTATGGCTGCGCGTAGACAGCGACGACCATCCCCGCGTCTACGGGTGCCTCTATAGGTCCCATAGCGGTAATGCCGACACAGACCGACTCATCGACCACGTCCAAATGGCTGCAGACTCCGTGCTACAACAGGTCCCATCCGCAGAGATCGTGATACTCGGTGATTTCAACGCCCACCACGCTGAATGGCTTGGTTCTCGTTCAACCGATCATGCGGGTAGATCTGTCTACGACTTTGCTTTGGCATATGGTCTAACACAACTGGTTACTTCGCCTACGCGGATCCCAGATGTGGAAGACCATGTACCTTCCCTGTTGGACCTTCTGCTGACCTCTCATCCGGACGGATATCAGGTCTCCGTCGATGCCCCTCTGGGCTCTTCGGACCATTGTCTGATCCGGAGCACAGTGCCACTCACGCTCCAATCGCAGTTGCGATCTACAGCTTGCCGCCGTGTTTGGCACTATAGGTCAGCTGATTGGGACGGGATGCGGTCTTTTTTTGCATCCTACCCTTGGGGGCGGGTTTGCTTCTCGCCGGAAGATCCCAGCGTTGTTGCCGATTCTGTTGCTGATGTGGTACTTCAGGGTATGGAACTTTTTATTCCATCCTCTGTGGTGCCCATCGGAGGCAGATCCCAGCCATGGTTTGGTCGCTCCTGTAAAATAGCATCACGCTATAAGCAGGAGTGCTACCGGGCCTGGGCTGACGCATCAACGTCTCGGGATTTAAACACCAGCGCACTTAAAAAGAAGTATAATTCCGCCTCCAGGTCCTTCAAAAGCGTCATTGCCAAGGCAAGGTCTGAGCACATCGGCAGAATTGGCGAGAAGCTAGTTCGCCTTCCTTCGGGAACCCGTGCATTCTGGTCTCTCGCCAAGGCTGTCCAAGGGAACTTCTGTCAGCCATCCCTCCCATCTCTGCACAGAGAGGACGACTCACTGGCCCATGCCGCAAAAGAGAAAGCCGATCTGTTGTGCTCTCTTTTTGCGTCCAACTCGACTCTAGATGACGGGGGGAACACACCGCCGACCATCCCGCGATGTGAGTGCTCCATGCCGGATGTGCGATTTACACAGCGCTCGGTTCGCAAAGCACTCTTCTCCCTGGACGTCAGCAAGTCGAGTGGGCCCGATGGAGTCCCTCCCATTGTGCTGAAGACGTGTGCTCCGGAGTTGGCACCGGTTTTAACGCGTCTTTTCCGGTACTCCTACTCCCAAGGCGTAGTCCCGAATTCATGGAAGACAGCTTTGGTCCACCCGATCCCTAAAAAAGGCGACTGCTCAGACCCGTCCAACTACAGGCCTATCGCCATCACCTCCTTGTTCTCCAAAATAATGGAATCCATTATAAACTGCCAGCTCATGAGGTACCTTGAGGATCACCAGCTGATCAGTGACCGTCAGTACGGTTTTCGTCGGGGTCGATCAGCAGGTGATCTTTTAGTTTACTTAACTCATAGATGGGCGGAGGCAGTAGAGTCCAAGGGGGAGGCATTGGCCGTTAGTTTGGACATAGCGAAGGCCTTCGATCGGGTCTGGCACAAGGCGCTTCTTTCGAAGCTTCCTTCCTATGGGCTTCCCGAGAAATTGTGCAAATGGATCACCAGTTTCCTTGCTGATCGGAGCATCAAGGTCGTAGTAGACGGTGCATGCTCTGATTACAAGCCTATCAACGCTGGTGTTCCACAAGGCTGCGTGCTATCACCAACGCTGTTTCTCCTGCATATCAATGATATGCTGCTAACTGGTAGCATTCATTGCTATGCAGACGACAGCACTGGGGATGCCTTATATACCGGCCGTGCCAATATTTCTCGGGAAAACGTCGCCGAGTACCGGGACAAACTTGTGTCTGAAGTCGAGTCTTTGCTTAACAAAGTCTCGGATTGGGGCCGACTAAATCTAGTCCAGTTCAATCCCCAGAAGACACAAGTTTGCGCGTTTACCGCTAAAAAGAACCCCTTTGTCGTATCTCCTCAGTTTCAAGGCACTCCCCTTGCTGCCTCAGCCAGTATCGGAATCCTTGGCGTCGACATATCGAATAGCGTGCAGTTTCGTGGTCACTTGGAAGGGAAGGCCAAATTGGCCTCTAAAAAGCTTGGCGTGCTCAGCAGAGCGAGACAGTATTTCATGCCGGCACATCGCTTGCAACTTTACAAAGCGCAAGTTCGGCCCCACATGGAATACTGTTCTCATCTCTGGGCCGGGGCACCCCAGTGCCAGCTCCTTCCACTTGACCGCATCCAGCGCAGAGCGATTCGAATCGTCGACGACCGAGTTCTTTCCGATCGGCTCGATACACTGGCACTGCGTAGAGATGTTGCATCTCTTTGCGTATTTTATCGCATCTATCACGGGGAGTGCTCTGAGGAATTGTTCGGACTAATTCCAGCCGCTCAATTTCACCATCGCACGTCGCGACAAAACTCGCGTTACCATCCATACCATCTGGATGATTGGCGGTCCACCACTGTGCGATTTAGAAGAAGTTTTCTCCCTCGCACAACTTCTTTGTGGAATCAATTACCACCAGCAAATTTTCCGAACCGATACGACTTAGGAACCTTCAAGAAAAGAGCTTACACCTTTCTAAAAGGCCGGCAACGCATCTGCAATTCCCCTGGTGTTGCGGTTGTTCATGGGCGGCGGTAGTCACTTAACATCAGGTGAGCCGCATGCTCGTTTGCCCCCTATTCTATAAAAAAAAAAAAAAAAAAAAAAAACTTACCTATCCATGTTTCCAAAATAACACCAAAACACTTCCAAAAACGAATTATTTACTATTTTTCAAATCGAAGCACGGACGCACTTGTTCAAATTATCAACAAGTGACAAATGAAGTTTGATTTGCGACACGTAACGCCATCTAGTAAAATTTATTAGTACTACTTTTTTACTTCGGTTTGTAGACCACGTACTACAGTGTAATATGACGACAAAAAATGAACCATTTTAATTTTGTGGGAGGTCAAACGGTATGTTGCTTATAGTCTACAACATGCTACAGAGGGTTAAGTTACCCAAATGGACTGTAATGAAATCTTTTTAAATCAAATAATTATAATTAAAATTAATCAATAAAATAATTTAAAAATATCAATCAAGTCACAATAAGAGCGGGTACACATTGGGCGCTCGGCGTTGCGTTGGGCGCGCGCTTATAGCATACATACAGCGCGCTTAGCACGGCGTTTAACGAGCGTTACCAAGGTGTCCATACTACTAGTTCAGTTCGGAAATGGACTTCGAAGTGATCGCTTGTGTGTGGCTTCTATACCGTCGCTATAAAAGACGACGGCAGAGGCAAAGAGAATATTGGGTGCATCCAATATTACGAGATAGACTGACGCATGGAATGTTTGTAACATTGTATCCAAAATTAAGGCAATATGAACCTAAGTTTTTTAATTATTTTAGAATGTCCATAAAATCATTTGATGACTTACTCCATGTTATTAAAGTAGATATTACTGGTGATTCAACGATTTTAAGAGATTCGATTTCCGCAGAAGAAAAACTCGTGATAACGTTAAGGTAAGTATATTTGTTTATTCAAATAAATCTAAGTTGTCTGAATCTTGGCTGGAGGCTGAACGTGACGGTGACCATGATGACGGTGGTGGTGGCGGCGTGGTAGACCACTGTTGTGTTGTTGAGGGTCTAGCAGTAGTATATCCAGAATGTGTCGGTGTAGAATATGTGTATTGGTGATGATTAGTTTCTAGTGGTAATGATTGATGATAATTCTGTGCTTCTTTAATGACATTGAGTAATTCAATCTTTGTAGTTAAGCGTCCATTTTTGGGCACTTTTTTTAATTCACTGTACAATGATAAACAGAATAGTTTATCATCGTCTTCTTTAGTTAGTCGCCCCATTTCATTTTGTTCCCTTGCATTTAAACTTTTCTGTAAAATGTCGACTATTTGTTTATCTACAGCATTTATTTTCTGTCTTTTCCTTGGGCCTTCCATTTGATCTTTAGGAGGTGGCATCAAGTCTGCATTGTCTATAATATTATCTACATCTGAACCAGTTGTGCCAGAAGATTGGTAATTGCTCTCTGTGTCGTTATATGCTGTAGAATTCGCAAGAAATTGTAATTTCCTGTAATACACATATGGCGTATGTTTGGAAGATCCAGATCCAGATGGAAGCTTTTTTTGCCTCTTAGACTCCCTAAGATAATTGTCCCGAATGCTTTTCCATTTTTTCATAAGTGTACCACCTGAAAATAAACAATAACCATTTTTATTTTGACAGATACTTGGCCACAGGCTGCTCTTTCGCTGATTTGCATTACGGATACCGTCTTGGAAAATCGACAATTATAAAGATAGTGGAACAAGTTTGTAAAGTACTATGGGGCAAATTGAAGTTTACATCTATGCCTGAAATGACAACAGAAAAGTGGAAAGAAGTAGAAGAAGGTTTTAAGAAATACGAAAAACTTCCCAAATTGTATTGGTGCGATTGACGGGAAACGTATTGAGCTAATACAACCAGAACATACAGGGTCGCTTTTTTACAATTATAATACAAACTTCTCATCAGTCTTACTAGCAGTTTGTGATGCAAATTATTGTTTTGTATACGTTGATATCGGATCCTATGGCAAAACCAGTGATTCTGCTATTTTTAAAAATTCCGAATTTTTTAAACGGATTGTGAATAATAAGTTAAACATTCCTAACCCCAAGCCTATATCAAATATCGATAGAACTCCATTGCCTCATGTGTTCGTCGGCGATGAAGCATTTGGAATTATGTCGAATATGATGCGGCCGTATGGAGGAACACAACTCACACACACAAAAAAAGTTTTCAATTACAGATTATCGAGAGCAAGGCGCTATATTGAATGTACTTTCGTAATAATGAGCAATAAATGGCGAATATTTCATAGGCCGATAGATGTAAACATAGATTTCGCGGAGAGTATCATCAAAGCTTGCACAGTACTACATAATTACGTTCGAATGCGCGATGGTTACAGATATGAAGATACACTTTATGTTTCACCTCTACAATCTATACATTTAGAAAATTTACCATGAGGCAGCTTATGTGCTAGAACAGCAAGAGAAAAATTTGCCAATTATTTTGTGAATGAGGGAAAATTACAGTGGCAAAACAACATGATATAATTATAGAAAACATCAATAAATAATTATACTCACCCAACAGTTTTTTCTTTTCCAAATTGTCTTCACAGTCACTAAAAATTTCAACTATTTCCTCCCAATTACGTTTTTTTTTAATATTTTATTTTTATAATCTGGACTTTGCATGTCCCATATAGCTGGACGCTTTTGGATTTCGTCGATAAATAAATCTGTATCGAAGTGTTCGATCTCCATGATATACGTGCACCCTACACGAAAGCGCGCGATCAAATGTACAGCAAAATGGCGGTGCATGTATGCATGTATGCTGACGCCCGCGCAACGCGCGTTCCAACGAAATTCTGAGAGCGCGCGTCCGACGAGCGCTTGATCAGAAGCGCGCGCTTGCATGTGTACACTTCAATAGGGACTTTTGGATCTCAAAACGCGCGTTAGTAAATCGCGCGTTTCAAAGCGCCCAATGTGTACCCGCTCTAACACGAAAGATTAAAATATTAAGGAAATATTTAATGAAATAAAACAAAAATACGAAATTAACAAAAGTTCAACTCAGGAATGATTTCTTTTCAAATCGTTCATCATTATCTCTTCGAATCAAATCTTCATTAAAACAACTGAAGCAAACAAAAATAAACTTAAAATTTGTAAAGTAATTATAAAACTAACAACGCATATTAAATATGGAACAATTTAATGATGAGATCCATTAATCAGTCTATGAATTACTTTGAGGTCTTAGGTTTACCTACTTATTAAAGCTGTCAATGTGTACGTCAAGATTGGGTGATTCCGAGACAACAAGATTTTCATAAAAAAATTGTTCTTGTTTGAGGCATTGATTTGCACAGTGCTAATACGAGTAATTCTCTTTTTTTGTCTCTCTAATACCTCTAGGTTCAGTCTCTTTAGGTATCCATTCCAAAAGATCAGTTACACCCTTTCTAATTTTTTTCCACAATTCAAGTTCTATTTTCTTTTTCAAAAAAGATATCTCATTAAAATCTGCGTTATAATCATTCTTGACAAATATTGTTAATTCATTTCTTCTGAATTCTATGACTTTCAGGTTATGTATATTATACCCTCTGGGGAATGCTGCTTTGGAATCATTACTGAATATGATCATTTGTTTGTGACTTAATAAATCGAATTGCATCTTTTTTCGTGAACTTTTGATATTGAATATAAAATCATCTATATCGTAGACTTGACCCATAGATTTCAATTTCTTTGTAATTGCAGTATGAACAACATCGGCGGCCATAAAAGTGTGTCCTGGCTCAAAGTATTCCAGAGTAATTTTGTCTAAATTTGTCATTTTATCATTAATTATTCTTATCAAAGCAGACAAAAGTATCTTGTTTTTGTTTTGCGCATTACAGTTATCTAAAAAAGATGTTACAGACTTTAGGTCTCTGCAATATTTTCTGAGAAAATGAGTGTATGTAGAAGCAATATTATGAGCTTTTTTACCACTTTCTTCCTCATGCCAAACTGCACAGACAGCTTGTTTGTTTTTTTCCTGGGGGCACAAAAGATTCGTTGAAAAGTACGAGTTTTCTTAAGAAAAAGTATTCTTTTATAGTCAACAGAGGCATACAAATAGCTTTTTGCATATTTACAGTATAAAGCATGTCTCGCCCTTCAGAATTTTCACACCTTTCTTCTATTGATTTCAAATCTCTTCTTGAATCTCTTTTGTTTTCAAGATGTTTGCCTAAGTCTATACAGTCATTACAATTACACGGTAGAGGTAATATTTTATGTTTTAACTCATGGTTTCTACATTTTGTAAATATCTTGAGCTGGTTCTGCTGTAGAAAGATTAATATGTTTTATTATATGGTGAAAATGTGCCCAACTACAAACTTTTTAAAATTTTCTGTAAGCTGCTGCAGTATAGTTGAAATTCTTTGTAAATTGCTGTAAAATTCACACCTACTGGAAGATATCTTCTGTTTGGCGCATGATTTATATTATAGTGTGATGGCATAGGATTATATTTTAATATAAAATTTTTCATTTCGTCTTCGTACTCCGTAGGGTAAGCATTATAAGTCAAGTGGTTTTGCTTTAGAACAGCCTGGACTGCTTCATCGTTGCTAAATCCTAAGGTATTTAAAAATTTTTTTTTGCAAATTTTGTTCTCATTAAGAGACCACGTTAAAGTATTGTATCTCCTTGAGTTCGGGCCAGCAGTTTTACTTGCCGTGGGTATTTTGTACACCTGCCTTGACAAAAAATCCCATCGTCTCTGTCTATCCATACTCCAGAACTGATTCTGAATGATCTCTCTGTCCGTTTCCGAGATTTTAACGGAACAATTTTTTTTGTAGTTTCGGCAAGGAGGTCTCATGGGATGCTTTTTTCTTTGATAATAACTTTAGGATCTCGACTTCTTTTGGCAGGTAGAGAATACGATTCTTCTGGCGTTTCAGATGGCAATAGAGCACTTGAAATGTCGGGGCACTCTGCGTTAGAAGTAGCAGAGGAAACCGTGTCCATATTAATTATTGGTCCATTATCAGCATTTTCCCCTAGCAGTGATGAACTCTCTTGGCACGTTTGGCTACTTAATTCCTTAGATAACTCTTGAATGGCACTAGAAGCTGGTACTGGTTACAAATCAGCGTAGTTGACGTTCTTATTGTAAGTTTCTTATTTTATAATTTTAATTTGTGTTTATTCTAGTTAATACATTTTTATTTCTAAGTTAATTAACATTGTCATCATCATTATCATCATTACAGCCCTTCACAAGTCCACTGCTGAACATAGGCCTCCCCCAAAGAATGCCACAAAGCACGGTCCTGAGCCACCTGTATCCATCGACTTCCTGCATGTCTTACCACGTGGTCACTCCATCTCGTGGGGGGACGCCCTACACTTCGCATACCGGTACGAGGCTGCCACTCGAGAACCTTTCTTCCCCATCGCTTGTCGGTTCTTCGAGCTATAAAGCCGGCCCACTGCCACTTCAGCTTACTAATCCTTTGGGCTATGTCGCTCACTCTAGTTTTACTGCGGATATCCTCATTCCTAAGTTTATCACGCAGAGAAACTCCGAGCATAGCCTTCTCCGTAGCTCGCTGAGCGACCTTGAACTTCCTCATACGGCCAGCAGTGAAGGACCACGTCTCAGTTCCGTAAGTCATCACTGGCAACACGCACTTGTTGTACAATTTCGTTTTAAGGTGTTGAGGTATGTCTGACGAGAAGATGTGTCGTAGCTTCCCGAACGCTGCCCAGCCGAGTTGAATCCGTCGATTGACCTTTCGGTCGAAGTTGGACTTACCTAGTCGGACTATTTGTCCCAGGTAAACATACTCGTCAACAACTTCGAGCTTAGTGCTCCCAACAACTACCGGCATATGTGTGACATGGACATTAAACATGATCTTTGTTTTGTCCATGTTCATCTTAAGACCTATCCGTTGGGAAACATTATTGAGGTCATTGAGCATAGTGCTTAGGTCCTCCAGCGATTCTGCCATAAGGACTATATCGTCGGCAAATCGAAGGTGAGTGATGTACTCGCCATTGATGTTGATACCGTATCCTTTCCAGTCCAGAAAACGAAGAAAACGTCTTCCAATGCAGCGGTGAAGAGTTTCGGGGATATGACGTCACCCTGTCTTACACCTCTCTGCAATTGGATAGGTTTCGTACTCTGGTTCCGTACTCGGATAGCCATCGTAGCCCTACTGTACAAGCACTTCAACACTTCGATATACCGACAGTCAACTTGGCACCGCTGAAGGGACTGCAGCACCGCCCAAATTTCGACGGAATCAAAGGCTTTCTCATAGTCCACATATACAGACATAGTGGCAAATTGTACTCTTCGGACTTCTGTACAATTTGCCGAAGGGTATGTATGTGGTCTATGGTGCTAAAGCCCTTTCGGAAACCGGCTTGTTCGGGAGGCTGGAAGTCGTCAAGTCTGCACGCGAGACGATTCGTAATGACTCTCGAAAACAGCACGTAGACGCGGCTCAGAAGGGAAATCGGTATGTAGTTCTTCAAGAGAGCGTTGTCACCTTTCTTGAAGAACAAGACCACCGCACTTCTGCTCCACGCCTCCGGTGTAATGCCACCATGAAGGACGGAATTAAAGAGCTTCTGAAGGACTTCAAGTACCGGTCTTCCACCCGCTTTCAGAAGCTCCGCTGTAATTCCATCCTCGCCTGGGGCCTTACCGTTTTTAAGGTGCTGGAGAGCCATTCTAATCTCGCTCAGACTGACGTCCGTGATATCTTCGGAATAGTGTCGGATGAGACTCGCTCTTGGATCGTTACTCACACTTGCGTGTGGCTCCAACGATGACGTGTACAGCTGCCCATAGACCCTCTCAATCTCACTCAAAATCTCAGGTGTCCCGGAAACGATGCTGCCACATTCTGTCTTCAGCCTTGACAGTTGGCTCTTTCTGGCAGGCAGATCTCTGGCAAAGGCTTTGGAGCCTTGGTTCCGCTCGATTGCTTCTTCAATACGAGCTGTATTGAAGTTGCGTAAGTCCCGCCGCATGCATTTGGAGATCTGTCTGTTCAGATGCCTGTATGCTGTCAAGTCTGTTGAAGAATGTAGCTTCATCTCCCGTCTAACAGCCATGAGATTAAGAGTGTGATCGGAGAGTTTTTGTGTTCTTCTGCGGCGGGTCTTGCGGAACTTAGCTCCGATCGCATGGACTGTTTCCACGAGCTTGTCATTCATATCGTCCACTTCATTGCAGTCTTCTAGGCACTGAAAACGGTTTTGTAACTCGAGCTGAAAGGTTTCGGGACTTTGGAACAGAGCACGAGGGGGACGGCGCGTTGACTTCATTAGACGAGACCTCTCTAACTTAACGTTTAGGTTCAGTGTGCCTCTAACCATTCGGGGATCGCTACCAGTTTTCACCCTCGCGATCACGGAGACATCTCTGAACAGTTGTCGTCTGGTCGTCTGGGGGGCGTGGGCCGCGGCCAGCTCCTCTTGAGTAGGAATGTCTGCTACTAGTTGGTCCGCGGCTAGATTCATCCTGGCCGGTCCGTCGCCAGCATAAAGCTGTAATGATGCCAACGCTGAGACAGATCCCTGCGCCCACGAGGTACATGCCCCACCACGGCATCCAGTTGCTGAGTATACGTCCTGCCCTCGCGGGGCCCCAGATAGTCCAGTGCTCTTGGCTCCGACCTGGGGCAAAGGGTTCGCTATCCATGATGCGACCCCAAGCAGGAGTTTGTCCCTCAGGGCGTCCGTCTTCGTCGCCATCGTCGGTTATGCTGAAGAGACTCACTACAGTCTCGGTGTTCCTGACAGGGCATTACTTTAAATCAGAAACAAGCGGGCTGCTGGAGTACGCCACTTTGATGGCATCAACAGGGCAAAACTTTAAATTGATGCCGCCAATCGACGAGGCCTTCCCTGCTCCAGCACGTGCTAAGCCAGGCGAGGGCTCACAAACAACAGGGCAATACTTTAAATTGTTTGTAATGATTCGCTCAAGCCGATCCTGTCGAAGTACAACGTCCCAATGTATTATTACCTGAAACAGTAGTACCGCGAGTTGTGTAATAACTAAAATTCGCATAGAATGCTAAGCCAGTTCGAGTGTCTCGTTAACGTAGAGACCTACGGGCAACAGTGGTTTAATTCTCAAGCTTCCTCTCTGTTCCACCTAGCCCTGATCACCCCTAGTAAGCACCGGATGTCTTTAGCACTCTGATGTTGTCCTACCTTCTTTAGACATGTATAGTAAAAATAAAGGGGCCAAGAACACGAAACCTCATGAGGAATCGGCCAGTCCTTGGGGAACCCCCCCCCCCCCCGCAACCGCGTCAGCTGCTCCAGGCCACTCGGACGTACCCGCAGGTCTTGTGGCTCGTCAATGACGTCCAGGATCACACTGTCCAAGATTGACCCGTAAACATGCTGAAAAGGCGCAGGCAGGGCTCCCTCTCTCACAGATGTGCTGTACTTCACTCTGGCCTTCTCTCCGCTAGTGGGGCGCCAGCAACCCCAGGTTCCGCCATCCTCGCCTTGGTCTTGTCCAACACCTCCTTCACCACATCGAGGTGTTGCGAAGGGACCAGGTCCTTCACCGCATGGCTGAGGATGTGGCTCGTCCCCGCCGTCACGGCGCCGGTCGGCCCGCCCGTCACGAATCTTAGCACGGCCGACAAAGCTGGGTACAGCAGATAGTTTTTTGCGGCCTGGATTATAGATTCTAGCGAGATAGGATCAGGATACTGGATGTCCGTCACCTTTATCGCTGTCATCTCTGTGTTGCTAGTGTCCATTCGTGAATAGAGGATGTACACCCTCCTAGGCTCGATG